CATACATTAACATGTTAATCAGTTAATATATATTAAGACTGAAGGTTGTACCTATCCAAGTAGTTGACTATATTGGGGTTTTTGTTTTCCCTCATCACAAGGATCTCATTAATAATGAGCTCTTTCTTTGGCTGCTGCTGCAGATTCATCTGTTTAATTGCCACCTGAACAAAGTAAAAGGAACAGAGGTCAGCAAAGGGAAGGAGGTCAATATTGCAAATGTGTATGCTTTCTTAAAACTGAAACAATCTGGTTAACCTCTTGTCCTGTGGCAATATCGATAGCTGTGTATACTGTCCCAGATGCCCTAAAAACAAAGCAAAGAAGCAGGTGAAAACGTGTAAATTGTAGTACTAAATTGTAGTGACTCATATATGAATCAATGACCAATAGGGGGCAGCCTTGGATTATATTATTTTTCAGCATTTAATTTAGCAATTAGAATTTTTGTAACGCTCTCAGACCACCTCTCAAGAAATATGTACATGTGTATATGGGTATTTGACATGCCCTGCGGTGAGACAAGCTATACTTTCTAAAACTACTTTAAACAACATTTTTTATAATTTAGCTTTAATAATGTCATATTGTTTGAAAGACTACATTTGTGTTTTTACAAATGCATTTGTTGCACCACAAGACCATTTACATTTAACAAGTAAATTCAATCAATCAATCAGTCAAAAAAAATAAATAATTGTGAGCATGCAGCCGCAGAACATAAAACATACATAAAACAGTCACCCTTTATATTAGGTGGCTTTAACTACTTAACATTAAATACCTAAACGACTATAGATTTATGGTGTAACAAAATTTTCTGGAGAATTCCCACATTTGAAGGAATGAGTTTGAGGTATAGTATAGGATTAGAATGAAAGATCTGGGTTACTGTTAGGGGTACGTTAACAGTTAACAGTGTAACTACAAATGTTACTTATAATACACATGTACACTCTTAATAAGTAAATTGTATCAAATGTTAAAGTACACAGTACACTCTAAAAAAAGATGGTTCTTTAAAGGTTCTTTACATGCAGTAATGGTTTTATTTAGAACCAGAGCATTCTGAAGAACCCTTTCATGCTGAAATGGTTCTTTGTCTTAGAGTTTAGGGTTCTTTGTTCCCGCCGTTTTGTTTTTTAAATCTGTAACTGTCAAAGCACCTCATTATTGAATTTCTGGAGTTCAGTGATCCAACTACACAGACTGTCAACACACTCTCAACAGGTAAATTATTTCATTCTTAAATTTAAATACAAATTTAACTTTAAAAATGTAACTGGCTTCCAAACAAACATGTTCTTATCTTTTTTTTTGTTTTGTTTTTGGTCACATATAAGTGTTTTCAGCTCTGCTAAGCTGTGGAAACTTCTCTCCTCTTCTCCACTAAGTAAGTAAAAGAGAAAATAAATTTATAATTCATAGTGTTAGATTTTTTAAATTATTACTTGGGTTTATGTATAAACATACCCAGTCACAAAAATTATTAAAACTAGGGGAGAGTAACACTTTTTGACTTTCTCAGTTTGTGTAAATCCACATGGGGTTCAGAATATAATTTTTTTATCCACAGTAGTTTTACACTTGTCTAGTACAAATATGTCGCTTTGTTTCAGGATTACAGTGTATACATTTTTCCTTATTTACCCTCAAAAAATGGAACTTATTGTGACAGCATAATGTGACAACATGCCCCGTTGGTGGGGTACATTGTAACATCTGAGGGGCACGTTGTAACATGACCATAAAACAGCTTAAAATGTTATCTGATCGAATGAAAAAAATATACAAGACAAACTAAAATATTTTGTTAATAAAATAAAATATTTTTTTTTTTTTCAAATAAAATAATGGCGTTTTTTAAGAATGAAAAATAATCTGATTTTGGAGTTTGACAATGAACACATTTCAATCATGCTTGGGACAGCCCACACAAACGAGCAAAAATGCTTTACATGCCTTGAAATAATAATTTCTAAACATTAAACATTGACTGTCGGTCTTTATTCACCTGTTTCTCGTTGTTTCTCATTAAAATTCATTAAAGTAAATAGTGTAAATTACATCGCTAATGTAATAGAATAGCACATTTTTACGCAGTGTTACAACATGCCCCATCTGCGCAACTGGAGTTTATAACCACTTGCTGTATTCTGCTAGTTAGCGAAGCATTAATACAACTATCTAAACTGATAAATAACAGATTGGAGATTAAAATAATAGCAGATTTGTCTAATTTTAAATGATGAATAAAAACTCAATTGTGTATTTCAGATGTATCACATCCCACAACCTCATCATCTGCAGAGAAAAATCGCCACTTAATCACACCAAAATGATGGACTTTAAGGCATCATATTGATTGGATTGTGATTGTTTCACTGGAACTTCATCACATCTATTTTTTGTTCTTATTTCGTGATTTTACTTCTTTATGTATTTATTCATGTTCAATGTCAATTGTCGTTGTTAAGAGCACTGACAATTTTGCATGTCAATAAAAACATACTTAATTCACACAACATGCTGCTGTTGTGGTCATTGCTGTTGTTGTTTTAATGTAAAACCCTAACCGAGGCTACACTCTAAGATGGCTCAATACTACAACCTCATCATCTGCAGAGAGAAACTGACATTCGATCACACCAAAATACAGATAATGATTAACTTAAAGGCATCATAGAGGATTGTGAAGATACTTCAATACACGATTTTATGTTCTATTTTGTTTTACTTCTTTAAGCATTTATTTATGTTCAATGTCCATTGTCATTCATTAATGTATTCTGCTAATAACTGTTGTTAGAACACTGTCATTTTTGCTACAATTTCACGTCATTAAAAAAAGTACCTAATTGACACGTTGTTGTTGTTGTTGTTGTTGATTTTATGTAAAACCCTAATAGACACTTCACGATATTATAAGACCAGGCAGATAGAGGGGTAAAAAACAATATTAATAAATAATATATACAAATAATACTAATATTAATGATATTAACATACTAATATTAATGAATTAAAAAATAATTAAAAAGATTATTTATAACACCAATAAGGTCCTATATAGCATTTTCAAAGCATGGTTCTATATGGAACCCTATAAAAAAGGTTTTATTTAGCACTAAAAAGGGTTCTGCTATTGTAAAGCCGAAGAACCCTTTTCTGGTACTGTTTAGAACCATTTTTCTTAAGAGTGTAGTTAAAGCCACCTAATATAAAGTGTGACCCATTTTTTCTTATACACTTGTCAGTTTTAAATCTAAAATTGTGATAGTGATAATGTTAATGGACATTAGCATTAACGTGTTAACAGACATGTTATATGTCAACTACCCATATAAACACATATAAACACACAAAGTGGTAATATTATTTAACAGTTAGTGCGTGGAGGATATGCATGATGCATGAAGATTAACAGAATCTTACCAGTGTCATCAGTGTCTAATTCCCCAGTCTTTTAGACATGCATATAGGAGTAATTCTTACATATAAGATCAAAGAATCTGCTGTACTGCTTGATAAATGAAGCTGTGTATCACCTTTGGAAAGTATTAATTGGTCATGTCAAGCCATGAACACAGAGCCTCTCACTTTTCTATTATTATCAAGGTGCATGGATAATAGAAAAGGGGTACAACTGCATCAGGTGCATTCAGGTTAAATATACATGAAAACACCACTGGATTGAACCTGGAGCAGTATTTCCTGCTCAGGATACAGGGACTGCCAGCAACTGACAAGAATATGCACAGGTCTGAAATAATTTATGTAGGAGCACAAGGGTAATAAAGAAATACAAAACAATTTATTTAATTTCCTTAAAGGGGTCATGAACTGCCTTTTTAAAAATTATTTTGTACTGTTCTCTGTGGTCCACTTATAATGTCATCAAAAATTTTACGTCAAAAAACATCATCATTTAGAAGTAATAGGCTATTTTCTGTCCTGTTTTGACTCCCCCCATCGGAACTCTCTGTTTGAATAGGCATGGCGGATTGTAGACTCTGAAGTAAACGCCAACTGATATTGGCGTTTGACAGCCTACATCCTTCACAGATGGACGCTGCTGTGATTTACGTTAAAAATGCATAAATACTGAGTAGCATACATATCAAACAATCTGTAATAACAGACAAAGCAATAGTGGCCACGTAATAAAAACAGTTACTCACACTTGTGTGGTGCGACATTACTGCCGAACCCAATATAGGCTAGTGATGTAGAAGCAGGCATTGATCTTCTTCTGCGGAGGCGGTTTTTAGCCACACTATTGCGTCATAAAGTGGCACATTCCACAAGCTGTCGTTTTGGCAGACTGGCTTCAACATAAGCTGTTTTTAGACTAACAAGAAAGTTTTAGAGTACTGAAACTTACAGGATGTTTTTATAGTACAATGAATGGCCTTTTATGTCAAAAGATCAAGAGAATTTTGATTTCTCAGTTCATGACCCCTTTAATGATTTTACAATGCAATAACTTAGAAAATAATAATAAAAAAGACAGGTATATTAAAGTTCATTAACAAATATTAACACCTTTAATACAGTGTAGGTGTCATATGGGCTCTTTAATGATAATTTTATGGCTTTTTTTGTCCATTTTGGAGTTTGACAGTCACTGGTTGTTATTTACTTTTATGGAAAAGAGCAGCGTAAATATTCTTGAAAGCATCGCCTTTACCGTACCATTAAAAAAAAAAAAAAATACATTTTGAGCAAATACTGGATGCCAACAGATCAAAATACATTCAACACCTCTCTCCCTCTCTTTGGCCAGTAACCATGTATGAATTAAATGTTAATTTGCTTCTTTGACATTTCTTTCTTTATTCTTGACTTGTTCACCCTGGCACCCACCCCCTGCTCTCCCTTTCTCTTTTTCTTCTTCTCTGTTCCACCAGTCTTGATCTTCTCATATCTTTATGTCTTTAAAATGTGAAGTGAGAGGTGTAATGTGTAAGCTTGGGTGGTGCATAGATGATGACTGTAGATAAACGTACCCTTGTCCTATTTTCTCAAAACGTGTGTATTTCTTCTTAGGATCGCCAACGCTAACAATGCTTCCTGGATGAAAGGAGAGTCCTGTAAGACTATATACATATGTACACAGAAGCAAACACATACACACAGAGCTTTTGGAAAGGTAACTGCTGAAGAGGGACGACTGAGTATCGTTGGCAGAGTAAGAACAGTGATCTCTGTCTGTTATAAGAAATATAATGTCTGTTTTAGTGCTGTTTAGTGCTTTTGCTGTTGATAATCTGGATCGCATGTGTAGAGTCAAATGGAAAAAAAGACAATGATTCACGTGTGCATACAAGAGACCAGACCTGCATTCCTAGTTAAAAATCCTAAAAGAATGTGTGTTAGATTCTTACCGGAATTTCATCAGATTTTGGAACCAATCCCAAAGGATACTAATGGAATTGAATGAGAATAATCTAAAAATCAAATACAATCATCTTGGATAAACAGACATTCCTACATAATTGTTTTGGTTTTATTGGATTATGAAAGTCCTTGAAATTCTTTTTGATGATGTACAGGAATATTTTATCTTAATAGGGAATCATAATAGTCCTTTTGGGACATTTAGATTACATTTATACATTTGGTAGGCACTTTTATCTGAAGCCGCTTGCAGCATATTCCAGCTATTTTACCACATTCCTTTAGGATTTTTCACTAGGGTGTAATTTCAAAATTTCTTATCTGTTGTTTGAGAAGAACCTTTAAAAATGGAAACCTTAAAATTCAATTTAACTATTTATATGTATTGTGACTTACAATACAGCGACACAATTCTGTCATTCATGAATACCACAGTAATAAACTAACAATTAAGTATCAATTTATTGAAATATTCTAATTACTAATATATATATATATATATATATAT